GGTGGATTTGAACCGTACGCCCCTTTGGAATTAGAGTCAATTTCCTTTTTATAAAAATGTTTTCTGGACAAAATGTCTCATCACCAGTGGAATGTCAACATTAAATAGCTTTTGATGTTTTATTAATGTGTGGAGCCAAGTTAGAAAAACTTTTTCCCATGTTCTTTAGTTTTCTATATTAAAAAGTTTGGGGCAATATAATGATATGCCTTCATAGCACAAATATCTTTCTTAAGAAATAGATTGTTGAAATATAGTTACTCTGAAGATTTAAATTAAATATATTTATTTTTTTCAAAATACTTATTCTGATAAATTTTCAGATCTAGACTCTTAGATCACTTTATCAAACACTGTTAAAGGCTTTCAAAAATAGTAAGAATTTTAGCACATTATTTTCCTTTAAATTAAATGTTTTAAATTATAAATACTATAGTTTACCTTTATATGGAGTAAGAAAGCGAGAAAAGAAAAGGACACTTGACATTCCTCAAGTTGAAAACCGAAGGAAAAATTAGGGCCTCAAGGGAAAAAAACGGAAAGATTGTGTGGGCAAAACATTGAACTCAGGAAACGTCAGAAGAAGATGGAAGTCACTGTACCAAAAATAACTGATCAACAGTATTGTTTCAGGAGGTAGCATATGATCAAGAACCAATGACATGGTCCAAGCTGCACTGTTGGCATTCACAAAACACAAGCCTCCAGGAACTGACAAGATACCACTGGAAATATTTTAACAAATGGATATAGCACCAGAAGTGCTCTTTTATGCCAAACTATTTGGAGAACTGCCAGCTGACTAGAAGAGATTAATTTCTGTATTCACTGTAAAGGAAAGTGATCCAAAAGAATACAGAAATTATCAAATAATATTATTACTATCACATGTAAATAAAATTTGCTGAAGATGCTTCAAAAGTAGTGTGTTGACAGAGAACTGCCATAAATTTAAGCTGGATTCAGAAGAAGAGGTAGAACGAGAAATATCACTGCTAATCTCATATGGATATTGGCTGAAAGCAGAGAATACCAAAACAATATTTATTTTATTTTTATTGACTATGCAACAACATTTGACTGTATGAATCTTAACAAATTATGAATAACACTGCAGAGAATGAGAATTCAGGGCAGAGTTCAGAGCTCCTGTACGCAGGGTCGCTATGAGTGGCAGGCAACAAGTAGGTCTTTGTCATTAAGGAGGTTCTATTCTCTGGGGCATAGTCTGTAAAGAGTTGCACAGTTAACTCAAAGACCACATTGCTCTGGTGTTTGAATATACCATCAACTCCAAGGGCCTTTTGTTCATAGGGTCACTATCAGTTGTGCTCGAATTGAAGGCAATCAACAACAACAATCAGTTCCAAGAGAGAAAGATGGGCAGTCTCCTCCCTACAATTTACAGCCAGAGAAATCCCAAGGAAGGTGACCTGTAAGTTGGCTCAGACTCAATGGTAAATGAGATTGTGAGCTTGAGTTCTTATTGATATGTTAGTTGGATTAAAACTACTAACTTTACTTCCACACTAAATAAGGATAGTTCTGTAGAATATACAGCAAATATAAAAGATACAGTGTTGTAACTCTGATTTCTTTCTAATTATTCAACACTAAAAATTGGTAAAATGGCTTAATCAAGAATTGGTTTTGTTCAGGTCTATTTGCTAATTCCCTTCTACATGTATTGCCCCTTCATCTAAGACCCCTGTCACTTTTGCTTCACGTTAACCTATACCAAAATGTTCAATTTCTAGGTTCAAGGGCTTTACCATTAGACTCTGCTTACTCTCCGAGCAGTTACAGCATTCTCATCATCTGCATATCCAGGAAAGTTCTCTTTCCTCAAATGATTTCTGAAGGAACCGTTTGAGAGCAACAGTTAACCACGAGATCCACAGTTCAAACCCACCACTGCTCTGTGGGAGAAAGATGTGGCAGTTTCCCATAAAGACTGCAGCCATGGTAACTCACAGGATAGATCTACTGCAATCTACAGAGCTGCTATGAATTGAGACTGACTTTGTGGGAGAGGTGGCCCTGGAACTGGGTCTCAAAGGATAAATTGGAGCTTTCCAGCTGAGTAGAAAAAGGTAATTTCAAACAAAGAGAAAAGTATGCTTACAAAGCTCAGAAGGCAAAAGAACCCTGAAATCCTTAGGAAACTACATGTACATTTGTAATAGGGAACTCTGGTGGCGTAGACTATAGGAAGTTGAGCTGCTAACTTAAAGGCCATGCCTTTCCAACAGCTTAAATCCATCAACAGCTCCACAGAGATAGATTGGCAATCTTCTCTTGTGCCATTTACAGCTTCAGAAAAACCTGTGCAAGGACAGCACTGAGTTGGTGCTGACTGTAGAGCAATGAGTGAGTGAGATGTAAGGAGAATACAGGACTGGGTAGAGAAAAGGTTGGAAAAAGACAGGTGAGAGTCTTGAAGATCTCCAAAAGATTCCAGTCAGAAGTGTTTCACGATTGTGTTTTATAAAATCACTCTGACTGTGGATTGAGGGGAAAAACTAAAAACAAGAAACCTGATAAAAGGCCCTTCCCAGTTCACTATAGAAATGCTGAGCCTGAACAACAGGAGAGAACAGATGTGAGCTGCAGTACAGAGGCAAAATCAACAGCAATTGGTGACAGGTTGGACATGAGGCGTGAGTGAGACAAAGCATCGAGAAGACTCCTGGGTCTCTGGTTATAACCAAATCCTCCCCTGACTAAATCACTGCTCCCTAGCTGGGACACCATCTGCCAACTTTCAACTACTAACATTTCATTTTCAAAAGAGAAATCACAACTAAAAGGAAATCAGTTCTAACTAATGGGATATCAGATCTGAAACTCAGAAGTGCCTATGTACAGACTAACAGAGTTGAAACCAATCAGTCAAATTAAAGTGCTAACTCATCAAAAGGTTTCAGTCAATTAATCATTAAAGCTACATTGTGCCAAAAAATAAAATTTCAGGGCGAATAAAGAAAATTTTAGTGAAGAGATGTATTCTGGTGCACTCTGTACCCAAGGAAATATTAAGAAATCAATTTATAATGGTTGAGACTCCCTAAGACTGCCAAAGATTGGTGAGGTCCTAACAAGATATAATAAAGTTGTGTTTGCTCCCAGTGGGTTTAACTTCTGTTCAGTCTCTGAGACAGAGCACAATTCTTCATAAATATTGAACTTACTACACTGTAAGGCAGAATTATCAACTTGTTCCATTAACATCAGGAAATTCAAAGTCATACAGTGACAGTTTTTCTTTTCATTAACATTCTACCATTCACACTTCTATTGATTTTTAAAGATTGTATTGTTGTTGTTGTTGTTTTTATGTGACGTTGAGTCACTTGCGACTCATAGTGACCCTATGTACAACAGCCCTGAACTCTGCTCTATCCTGTGCCAATCTCATTGCCTCCGACACACCCATCCCGATTACCCCAGTCACTGAATCAATCCACCTCATAGAGGGCCTTCCCCTTCTGCGCTGTCCCTTCACCCTCCCAAGCATGATGTCCCTCTCTAAGGATCTCTCCCTCCTTACATAGATGTCCAAAGTATGTCAGACGAAGCCTCAGAATCCTTGCCTCCAAGGAGAAGCCTGGTCTAACCCTGTTGGATATTTTACCAGTGAATATACACACAAAAATGTCATTCATATTCACATTAGTGTGGAATTTCAATTGTGTTGCCAAGGGGCAACACATATTATTTTATTATTTCTGGTACAAAACGTCAATTATTTGAACACATTCATCTGGACTTAAGATGCTGATGACTCTTCGTAAAGAACTTCATCTACTTTCATGTCATTTTCATCCACTGGGACCTGGGGGCAGATCTGTTCTTTGAAGGCCAAGGCCAGGGTATAGGGCTTAACTTCCTGCTGCTGCAGACAGCGCTTCAGGTAGTTGTCATAGTAGCCCTTTCCCCGTCCCAAGCGGTTGCCATGTTTGTCAAATCCAAGACCTGGCATGAAGATGAGATCAAGTCCCCCTGTGAAAAAGAAAAACAGAGAAGAGAGTTAATGGAGTCATCATGAGTTGGCATCAACTTAGTGGCAATGGGTTTGGTTGTGATTTGTGTATGCATTTATTGTTTTCTGAAAGTGATGAACTTCATCATCTGGTTTTTACTTTTAATGCTATCTATGCTTCCTCTGGTTCATATAAACAGTAAACATGCTCGCCTGCTAATGTAAAGGTTGGCAGTTTGAGGGCACCCTGAGGTACCTCAGAAGAGAGGCCTGAAATTCCACCTACTGAAAACTCTGTGGCTGAAGGCACTATAAGAAGATGGGTGACTATAAATGAAGAACTTGGAGAAGAAGTGGGAAGAATGCCATTACACTGACAGATTACAACTAATGTCATAAAATAAAACGTGTATGAATTGTTGAATGGGGAAACTAAATTTCTCTGTAAACTTTCACCTAAAGTACAATAAAATGATTAAGAAATGACAAGAACACTTGTACGGAGCGCAGTTCTACTCTGACAAACAAGGGATCAATGATGAGCCAGTATCGACTTGATGGCAACTGGTGCTCTTTCTCTGACTTCCAAGGTTAAGAATAACCACTGCAGAAAATACAAAAGCTGCGTTGGACAAAGTAGAATATTAAAATTACTCATTAGCTTACTAATCTCATTATCATTTCTTCCAGCATTTTTAAATGGATCCAATAAAACCTCCATGCTGTCAAGCTGGAACTGAGTCACAGATGACTCCCTGTTGGGTTTTTGAAGCTAAAAATCACATAGGAAGAGACTACTCATCTTTCTCCTGCTTTAGTTGGTAGACTCAGACTGCTAGAGGATTACAGCAACTCCCTACGGACTAAGCCACCAGAGCACCCTTTTAGATGTGCAGATGTAAAAAAATATAAGATCCCCTGACTGCATCCACACTTAGTTCATGGGAATTTCCAGAGGCAAAGACTAAGAATATTTTATTTTTTAAAGCATCCATGAGATTCTAAGCACGTGTCAGGTTTGAGGCTTAGGAAGTAATAGTCCAGAATAATGACAGCTGGAAAAGTGAGAGAGGGCCAAGGAGGGGCTGGAGAGAAGGGATCTGTTCTCAAAGTCAGTGAGAAGGATGGTGCTTAGCTGCTGGAGCCCTAACTCCCTCTTCACTCCCCTCTCACTCAAAGGCAGGACCAGGCTTTCAGGCTTCCTCAGATTCACAGTCCAGAGCCTGCCCTCTAGCTCGCACCCCCATGGAGAACAAGGACCACTCACTAAGAAAGAGTCGGCAGCTGCTAGAGCTCAATGTTCTAGGAGAGTCTTGGAGTCTATAAAAATCTATGGCAGTAAGTTACTATGTAGAAGGTAATAAGCAGCACTTGGTGAAGGAACTCTAAATATTGTGTGAGTCCCAGCAGACTCCAGCGTCTGTCAGGAAACAAGATGCACCAGTAGCAGCAGAAAAGCCACAGTGTATGCCAAAGCCATGATCTGCCCAGAGGTTTATATATATATATATATATAGAGAGAGAGAGAGAGAGAGAGAGAGACTCTATAGCCACTAAAAGGTCTCCTACGACTTTCAGCTTGTTATTGTTGTTGTTAAGTGCCGTTGAGTTGTAGATGACTCATAGCGACCCTATGAACGAAAGACCTTAACACTTGTATGGCTTTCATCGTTTCTCCAAGTTCATAGAGTTTCCGGAGGCAAGCTATTTTGGAAATGGTTGGAAGTGGATGTCACTCCTGCTTCCAAGCTTGTTTTAATCAGGGAGCTCCATCAAACACTGCCCACCATTATCGCATCTGACACATCAGTGTCACATGTTTAGCATCACAGTAACCACATACTACCTCTGTACAGCAAATGGACAGACCAGTGCTATACCACTTAAAAGAACTTTTGACCGAAACCAATCAAAACCAGGCCGGAGGGCCGCACATTAAAGTCACCCACTTTTGGCTTGGTAGCATCACTTTCTGTCCACTAGACCAACAGATTTCTTTCATTGTTGTTATTGTTGTTAGGTGCCGTTGAGTCATAGATTACTCATAACGACCCTATGAACGAAAGACCTGAACACTTGTATAGCTTTCATCATTTCTCCAAGTTCATAGAGTTACCTGTGGCAAGCTATTTCAGAAGTGGATGCCACTCCTGCTTCCAAGCTTGTTTTCATTGGGGGTTTTTGGCTTAGCAAAGACGAAACCTGCACACAGCATTACTGGCCAGGACAAACCTGAGTTGGAAGCCACAGACTCTGCAGAACAAGGAGTTTAGGGTAGAGGGGTTCAGACTGGTGGCTTGGTTGGCACCTGCCCCCAACAGCTGTACAGAGAGCCCACAGAACTGTGAAGTGAACCCAACTTCCGTCCAGCTCCCAGAACACAACTGTCAAGCCCTCCTCTGCCAAAATCCATAAAGTATGACTCAGGCTATAGTAACGATGACCCTCTCCTGTAAACTTGCTTGCTGACTCCAGCTGAACTTGCTTAAAAGACTCTGGTCACTGACTCATAATCCCTCCCCTATTTGTTTGCTTCTCTTGGCCCTGAGAATGGCCTATACACTTGGACTTTATCTCCACGTCCCCTTCCTGTTGCCAAGCTTTGCCATGCACACCTTTTTCTGTGCCTCTTCATGTGTGGGCACAGTACTTTGTTTAATTCTCTGGGGGATGGAGAAGGTACAATAACTATCCTTCAAGAAACGGTAGTTCAATAAACATAAAATATGTATGCATACAGTATCCCTCCCAACGCACAGCAGCAATCCCTGCCAAATGCCTGAAAAGTATTAGAGACAAGCATTAGAAACGTCTGCAGAAGGACAGCAATTCTGGTGGTTGGGGGAAACCAAGAGGAACACTCACTTAACCTGAATTTTTAAGAATGTGTCAGATTTGGGTTTTTTAGAAACTGAAGGGAAGGTGGCAGGAGCAGAGAAGGGAAAGGAGAGTGGGGAACAGGTTATCTGCTGGGACAGTGGGGTCAGGCCAAGGAGGCGTGGAGGTCATGAAGGTGGCAACAGCCAAGCTGGGCACAGCAATTTGGAAGACAAAGTAAAAAAGAATAAAAGAGAGACCAAGAGAATAAATGAGATTTCCTTACATCACGGTCAATCAATACACAAGGACGAGAGGGTAGAATTTTGGAGAATCCACATTAAAAAGTTGGAAGAGAGTGAGGAAACAGAAAAATAAATTTATTTAGTCTTCAAGTCCTACGTCTTAGAATTAATCTCTGTCTATTCTTGTTACTCTTGTACCCTGATTATGGCTCTCACTGCAATCCACCTTGTACAATTGGTGACTTTACCCCAACAGACGGCAAATTTCCTTGAGGGCCATTAATTTTTTCCAAGTCATCCTGTCTTATACTTGAATTCTAATAGATTTTTAAGCCAAAGAAACCCTGAAAACTATTATATTACCTGAAAAAATGGATCTATCCTAGTATGACATCCTGCCACTTTAATAACTCCAAGGTATATGGGTTTGCATCAAGGAGGTAATGTTATGTGCCAGGAAAACAGTAAAAGTATTACCTTGTGGGACGGCTTGTTCAAAGAGAGCAGGCCAGCTATTAAGCAAAAAAGAAAATGGCTTTAGAACTCAGATTTCAGAGGCTCTGAAATGGTTCTTCACAACTCTTCCTACAGTTCTGTACAGGATGCTAGTGTTTGTTGTACCCCTGACTACAGAATCACTACCACTGCTCCTCCAACCACAGCGCCATCTCTTGGCACTGGCTGCAGGTCTTTAAAATTTCCTTTCTGGTCTGTTCCTACTTCTGCTATCTGTTGGGTTCAAGTCTTCTCCCTAAACATAGCAAGTATTTCTTGTAAGACTTCACCCAAATGTTACCACTCTTGAGTTTCTTCCTGTGACCATCACCATTATTTCCATACACATATCCACACTCACCTGGATAAGTTTCATTACACTATGCAGGATGCTCTCTCAGCAGAACTTGAAAGTCAAGTGCTGACTTGTCAGGTTTTCTTCTTGCTTCTCTTGCCACATACTGGTCTCACTTAGTGCCAATCACTTCTAACAGAGGTAAACTGACACTGTTGTTGTTGTTGTTGTTGTTGTTATATGCCATCAAGTCATCTGCGGCTCAACAGCAACCCTATGTACAATAGCCCTAAACCCTGCTCTATCCTGTGCCAATCTTATTGTCTCCAGTACACCTACCCCCATTACTCTAGTCACTGAATCAATCCATGTCATTGAGGGTCTCCTGCACTGTCCTGTCCCTCCACCCTCCCAAGCATGACATTCCTCTCCAAGGACTGATCCCTCCTTTTAACATGTCCAAAGTATGTCTGACAAAGCTTCAGAATTCTTGCCTCCAAGAAGCAGCCTGGTTTCACCATTTCCAGTATAAACCTGTTTGTTTTCTTAGCAGTCCATGGTATATTCAATACTCTTCTCCAGCACCGCAGCTCAAAGGTATCAATTTTCCTTCTATCATCCCTAGTCATTGTCCAGCTTTTTGATGCATAGCACGTTAGCTGTGATGGCTGTGGTCTGGATCAGGTGCACCTTAGTTTCCGTACTGACGTCGTTGCTCTGCAGTACTCTGGAGAAGTCCCTGATAGTAGACCTTTCCAGTGCAATTTGTCTTTTGATACTCTGGCTGCTGGTACCATGAGTGTTGATTGTGGGTGGAGCCAAGCAAACTAAAGCTGTTAACAATCTCCAGAAGCCAAGCAAACTAAAGTGGTTAACAATCTCAATCTCTTCGCCATCTATCATGATGCTGCCAATCTAGGAATGTCAAAAACTCAGCAGAGAAAATAAGAGGAAAACCGCTTTGTCCACGTGCATCTGCTGTATATTTCTCTAACACAATTCTCTTTTCAAAATATTAAAAGCTCACTAATAGAGAGAACTGACATTAGTACAAGTTACAGGAGCCAGCCTATCCTTATTTTACTCAGACAGTGGGCTCTTGCTTCACAGGCTCCTGCTAGGAGAGAATGTGACCAGCAGAGTCAAAAGCCCTGGCCATCAGAATTGA